CACGTTACACCCCCACCGTGTGGCTGGCGTGTGAAAATGTGTGCCGTGGCGTGGCTTGTGAGCCAACACATGTGAAAGCGTCGCCATGGCACCACAGTATGCTACGGCTCACGTGTGAACACGTGTAGCCACACTACTGGAGCGTCACGTCACAACACGGTCCGTGTCTGATCACACGCGATCATACCACCATGGCTTGGATCACATGTGGCCATGACATGATGCTACAGTACAGCTTGCACGTGAACATGGCTGCTCACACATGCACACGCGTGTTCACGCCGTCGGGGCACAGTGCAGAAGTGAGGCTTATGCGTGATCTTGCGTGCGCGCATGACACTGGCCCAGCACCGCGGCCTGACGTGCGCGCGCACGAACGCCTGTGCTCCTGATGTGGCGGGGCGCGCCACTACACTGGGGTCTGAGAGCGAGCGCGAGTAACCATGTTACCTTAAGTATGGGTGCGCCTCGCATGTGAACACACATTTTCCCACACCAGTGCTATGAGGGGTGCAGGGCAGCTCACATGTGAACACGCGTGCCCGTGCTTCTAAGGACCACGGAGTGGCTCGCAGGGGAGTTGGCCTGCCCTTATCTACAGATCTGTCTCAGTGCTGCAGCATGGTGCGGTTGACAGACCCGTTCGCGTGCCTGCTGTATGCCAATGCCGCCACACGGTGGCAGGACACACCTGCTTACGGGCTGCTGGTGGCCTGACTTCACCACACGGCGACGCGGGCACGCCTGTTTGTGGGGCTGCTGTGGCCACACGGCGCGCACGGTCACACCTGTTTGTGCCCGAGCTGTCCCAGCGCTGTCGTGAAGCACGGGTTCACCCGTTAGAACGTTTGCTGTGCCCCGCTTGCCAACACAGGCCTGTTTGAATGGACGCGGAACCCCCGCGCCGCCGCCACGAGGTGGCGCAGCTGCACAGGCTTGTGTGCCTGCTGAGTCCCATGGCCAGCTCCTTATGGCTCGGGCACGCACCTGATGCGTGCACACCGCGCCTCACCGTCCCAGACGGCGGCCCGCACTCGCCCGCATTCAGGCGTTTTATGCCTCGCCCTTACGATGTGGGAGCACGAGCAAACCTGTTTGTGCCCCTGCTGCACTGCGCTGCCACCGTGGGTAGCCGGGGGAGGCCTGTTGGCACCTGCCGTGTCTCAGTGCTGCCTGCCATGTGTGGCCTTGACATGCCCGTTCTCCAACACGCTGGGTCCCATTGCTGCCGTGTGGCGCCACGGGCTGCTTGCTTGTATTCCTGCTATGTCCCCCACTGCCGCGTGGGCTAGCCATGTCCACTGCCTCCACGCAGATGTGCTGGCACACCTCTTTGTGAGCCTGCTGTGTCCCAGGACTGCCCCGTGGAAGCATGGGCGTGGCTGTGTGAGGACCTGCTATGCCCGAGTGCTTATGTGATTGGCACATCTGCCAAGTCCGAAGACTGCTGTGTGGTGGCTTAGACACACCCCTTCACGCCATTGCCATCTCCTAGTGCTGCCTTGGGCAGGGCGGGCATTTGCTGTTTATTGTCCTGGCATCGCCATCTTGTGATACAGGCGCGTCTTTTGGTGCGTTTGTCACCCGGGCACACCCGTTCACACCTCTCCCAAGGCTCGACAGCACCACACGGTGCCATGTCCACCCCTCACGCACCTGTCACGCCCCATCACTGACACTCGGTGGCACAGGCAGACCTGTTTGCACACCAGGTGTGCTGGCGTGGTTGGCGCAGGCGTGCAACGGTTTACGTGCCCTTGCCGTGTCCAGGAGACGCCGCCCACGTGGCAGCGTGGGCACGGCGGTTTGCGTGTCTCCACAGGCAAGGCAGGCAAAGCTCCCGCTCCCGAGGGTTTCCTGGCACCGTCACCTGGTAGAGTGTCACACCTTCAGTGCTATGCAGCGGCACCGCGGGCACGGATGTCTATGCCCTACCGTCCTCCAGCGCCAACACGCCACAGTTGAGGATGCACCCATTTGTGCAGCTGCCCCTCCAAGCACCGCCACATGGTGGCATGGACAAACCTGGTGGCAGGGAACACCTGCTTGCAATGCCTCCCCTGCCCTAGAACGGCCACATGGCGGCACGGGCGTGCCTGTTAGCGTTCTGTACCGGGGTTGTCATGAGACGTGCCATGACCAAGAGCCACCAAACACACCGGGATGGGCATGCCTCTTTCCGTGTGGCGACCCATCTGTTTATATGCCTGCCACGGTCCAGGGCTGCCTGGTTGCACACCCACGGTGTCGCAGGGCTGCTAGTGGGGCACTGGGGGATACCTGTTTACATGCCTGCATTTGTCCCGCGGCCGTGTCATGCTATTACTGCCATGCCCGTTCATGTGCCTGCCGTGTCCGCTACCACCGCTCGGTGCCCTTGATACGCTTGTCTGCACGCTTCTTACGTCCCAGCTTCAGCACTTGCCAGCCAGGGGAGGCTTGCTTACATGATTGCATGTCCCTATGTCCTCCCGGGGTGGCCTGGACACGTCTGCTCGCATGCTTTCCATGTTCCAATGCCGCCATGTCCCAGCATCGCCCAACGTGACCAGGCTCAGAAAAGGCATGCGGGCCACCCTGCCCATGCAGCTCTTGGAGACGGCACGTGGGCCGACACATCCACGGCCCTCTGTGTGACTGGGGTTGGAAACGCCGTGTGCAATGCCGCGAGCGTCAGCGTGCCCACGTGGGCCTCATTGGGTCCAGTTAAGCAGCGGCTTGGGGGCCAGCAGGCCCACACACCTTCTGGTATGAACAGCTCAGAATCCACATGCGGGGCCGACAAGCCTGTGCAGCCCCCTACATGACCAGCCTCACACACGGCGTGTGGGTCAGTGTGACTGTGACACCACTACGTCCCCGCTATATGACGAGGTCTGGGGAAAGCGTCTGGGCCAATGGCTCTGCAGGGTTGGAGCCTGGCGCTAAAGGCTGTGTTAGCCTTGCTGCGCTTAAGAATAACAAAGGTCCTGAGGAGACCTGCTGATATGCGCTTGGTGATATTCCCAGATAACAGGTTTTTTGAAAGTAGATGATGTGAGTATTCTCCTGGAAGTGAAATAGGGCCTTGTAACTGCTATAAATGAATACGATGATCCTCCTGGGATGACATTTGTAAGAGAGGGTTGCCCTGAGTGTGTACGTAAGGGCCACCCAAAATGTTTTGGAGTCACAAAGATCAGAAACAAACAGGACCTTTTTTTTTAAAACTTCTTTTTAAAATTTAAATTAGAAACAAGCTGGCTTCACATGTCAATCCCAGCTCCCTCTCCTTCCCCTCCTCCCCTGACTCCCCAACCCCTCCTCTCCTCCATCCTACCCCCCCTCGCTCTCCAGGGAGGGTGAGGCCCTCCATGGGGATGATATGATAGACTTTGGAGATCTCAGAACCTTTTATATGCCCAGATATGTGGAATCTTCCCACTGAAGGCAAATGGGTCGCAAGACTTCAGATTGGAAAAGATTAGACCATCAATAGGGCTCTACGGTGTCCTAGAACCCTCAAGGGAAACATTCCTATGGGGATGTTAAGGCAAGAGCTATGTAATCAAGCCCCCAGACAAAGAGACGCTGAATCAAGGTACTTCTTGTTGGAAGCACGACACAGATAGACCTCCTTTTTCTCAGTGGAACATGGGCCTACCAATGCCTTCCTCCTAAACGGATGAGCTCTCGACTGTAGTATATATACAGCTCAATGTAACGAATCTCTCATTTTACCAGTTGAGGCCACCTGGCAGGGTTAAAAGAGCTTCCTTTCTCATCCCCTTGGCAATGGGAGTGGGACTACAGCTGATACAGGATTGGATGCTGGAAGAACACTGTCTTTAGAAATACAGTGCAATAATCTCTGCAACCCAGCTATAAAGGACAAGGGGCAGATGTCTGAAGCATTAGAAACAATACAGACCATGTGGAACCCTTCACTGAAATACTTCTCCAGACGGGAAGAGGCCTAAACCCATTAACAGTGGAGAAGGGACTCATTGCATTCTTATATCAAGAATGCTGTTATTACGCTAATAAACCAGTTATAGTCAGAGACACGGCTAAGAAGAAGGAAGAAAGAGCACTAAAAACTTCCGGGGTTCCTGGGATACCTACTGAAATCGGAAAATTTGGCTGATATATTTAGCAGGGTCTTTCCTCCTGATCAGTTTGAGTCTCTTATTGGACCCTGTGTCCTAAACTGTCCAATTTGGTTCATGATCTACTGTGTAGAAGCCACAAACGATATTGACTTCTGAACCTGCTCATTAGGTAGCACAGCAGACATCTGGCTCCCGACAGTTCAGAATTCCAAAGTTGGAGCCTTTATATGAAGTTAAAAAGCTCTGAAAATGGAGGGCAGAAGAAGAAGAAGAAGAAGAAGAAGAAGAAGAAGAAGAAGAAGAAGAAGGAGGAGGAGGAGGAGGAGGAGGAGGAGGAGGAGGAGGAGGAGGAGGAGGAGGAGGAGGAGGAGGAGGAGGAGGAGGAGGAGGAGGAGGAGGAGGAGGAGGAGGAGAAGGAGGAGAAGAAGAAGAAGAGAAGGAGGAGGAGGAAGAAGAAGAAGGAAAAGAAGTAGAAGAAGAAGAAGTAGAAGAAGAAGAGGAAGAAAGAAAAGAAAAAACCAGCAAGCTTTACCATTAATCCCGAGGAACAAACTTCCTCGGGAAACAACAGGCTATGTTAGGAGTAAGGAAACATAATGAGGCTCCGTCACAGATCTGAGACAGCAGAGCTAACGCTGAACTTCTGACTTCCGCTGTGATCTCGTGCCCCTTCCTCTCTTCTGAGAAGTGCAGCGTCTGCTCTGGAGACATGGGCACCATCAATATCCACACAGACAGCACCACTTGTCTCCTAGAGGCCAAACTGTCTTAACCCGTTTGTACATCCGGCGTGTTCAGGACGACCACACGGTGGCCTGGGTACTCCGGTTTGCAAACCTGCCATGTCCCGGAGATACCACTCGGTGGACTGGGCTCCCTGCTCACGTGACTGCCGTGTTCCAGGGCCGCCACACGGCAGCCTGTGCTGCCGCATGGTGGCCTGGGAATGCTTGTTTACACACCTTCCCTGTTGCAGCGTCACCACGTGGCTGTCTGGGCACACTTGCTTTTAAGTCTCCAGTGTCCCAGGAACCATCATTTGGCCGCTTGGGCACACCATGTTGGTACACTTGCTGTGTGCCGGTGCTGCCATTCGGTGGCATCGGAATGCAACTTTGCATACCCGCCAGCACCACCTGCCCCGGTGTCACCACAAGGTAGACCGGACACGCCTGTTCACACGCAAACCTTGTCTTGGCACTGACTTGTGGCAGTGTGGGCTTGCCTGTTCGCATGCCTGCCTGGTCCCATCCCCACCGCTCGGCAGCACCGGCCCCGCCTGATCGCATGCTTCCTGTTTCCCAGCAGCACCGTCCCGGTGAAAGCCTGCGCATGCCTCTCCACACTCTCGCTGTGTCCCAGAGGCACCACAAAGCCGACTGGGAATGCCTGTCTGCATGCCTGTCATATCTCAGGGCTACTATGCTGTGGGCCCTTGTCCCAATGCTGCAAAAGTAATGCCTGCAGCGTCCCTGCGCCACCACGTAGGGGCCTTGACGCTCCTTTTCACAGGCGTGCTGTGCCCAGAACGGCCACACGGTGGCCTCAGCAAGCCTTTCCACATGCCCGCCATCTCCTAACTGCCGGTCCAGATCCATCCGTTCGCGTGCAGCCGTGTGCCAACGCCACTGTGTGGCTGCCTGGGGATGCCAGTGTGCACACCTGTGTGTGTCCCAGGGCCACCACGTGGTGACCTAGGCACGCCTGTTATTGGTGTGTCCGGGACTGTCGCGTCTAAGTGGTGCCATTCAGCCGAGCAGACACCCCTGTTTGCAGATGAGCCACGCCCCTACACTGCCATCTGTTTGCAAGCCTGCTGTGTCTGAAAATCACCATCTAGCCGAACAGGGGTGCCTGTTTGCGCGCGGCCACGTCCCGTCCCAGCACTCCCTGTGCTGTGTCCTGGTGGTGACACACGGTGGCACTGTCACACGCGTTCGCAAGCGATCGCTGTTGCAGCACCATCACACAGCAGGCAGGCTGGCATGCCTGGTCACAGTCCTGACCTGTCCCTGCACTAAATACAGCTCAGTGATGGCAGCGCGTACTCAGCCTTTGCAGGGCTTCCTTTTGCAGCACGGAGAAGGCAGCCATCTTTCTTTCTTTGGAAGGAGAGGGGAAGGAAAGGGAAAGAAAAAGAGAAATGAGAACAGAGAGGAAGGGAGAAAGAAAGAGGAGGAGGGGGAATAAAAGGAAGGAGAAGCAGGAAAATCGAGAGGAAAGGAAAAGGGAGGGAAATGTCCAATGCATCCTCATGAGGTGTTTTCTCCCGCTTGCGTTTTGTGTACATGGTTCGTTCTCCCTTCCTTCCTTCCTTCCTTCCTTCCTTCCTTCCTTCCTTCCTTCCTTCCTTCCTTCCTTCCTTCCTTCCTTCCTTCCTTCCTTCCTTCCTTCCTTCCTTCCTTCCTTCCTTCCTTCCTTCCTTCCTTCCTTCCTGCCTGCCTGCCTGCCTGCCTGCCTGCCTGCCTGCCTGCCTGCCTGCCTGCCTGCCTGCCTGCCTGCCTTCCTCTGTCTCTCTGTCTCTCTCTTTCTGCTTTGTTATTTGTTCTGTTACTCTTGTGTTTCTTTCTTTTTTTTTTTTTTTTAGACAGGGTGGGACTATGTAGCCCTGGCTGCTTTGGGATTATGTAGATCATGCTATCCTCAAACTCACAGAAATCTGTTTGCCTCTGTCTCTTAAGTGCTGGGATTAAAGGTGACATTCAGCGCCGTGACACCCAGCTTTCCGTGGTGCCGAAGGTTGAATCCAGGGTCTTGTGAATGCTAGGTAATTCCTCTACCACTGAGCTGTAGTGCCAGCTCCGTAAATAATTTTAAGTATAGGCTGTAACTGTTAACTAACTCCAAACAAACAAACAAACAAACAGATATGCTCATTCTACTGTGTGGTAGCCCAAGTTTAAGGCAGGTCTGGGCTGCACACTGAAGCATTATTTTGAAAGAAAGCACCCTCCCCTCATCCCCTCAGGGCCTGGCAATGTGGTTTAGACGCTAAAGGTGGCTGCTGCCAAGTCTGACAACCTGAGTTCGAGCCCCAGGGATAGGCGTGGAAGAAGAGAACTGACTCCTGTTTTAAAATACAAGTAAGTAAAGTGCACCCGCACAGAGCACGTGCCACAGACTGTTCACCAGTGGAAATCGCAGGACCGGAGGCTGCTCAGGGTGATGCCAAGGACGAGCCTGCGCTGCTGCGGACTGTACAGACTGGGTGTGTGCCCCACACTGGGCTTTCCCTAACCGTTTTCTTCAGTAAACAACTAGGTTATGGCAGCATTTTTACTTTACGTATTTTTGGCTTTCTGCTTCTTTTGTAATAGCGTGTAACTTCCAACGTATCTGCATCCCACCCGATTGAACCTCGATGGGCAACCGCAGCGCCCTCTGCTGGGCCATTCTGCATGCCCTCGTCTCCTCTCACCTGGGGACAACCGGCGAAAGAAAGGGTAACTGGACCCATTGAACGGCCCTGCTTAGTTTCCAGGTTCGTTCTCAGCCTCTCGCAAGACTGTATAAGACAAAGACAAGCAAGAACACTTTATATATGACGTTTTGGTAAACGCTCTCCCCGTCCCCCCGCCTTGCCCCCCCCCCCCCTGCCTCGCCCCGCTTTGGAACTGGAGACTAATCCCAGCGCCCCGAGCAAGCTTTCTACCACTCAGCTAAATCCCAGCTACTTTAAATTTCGTTAGACTTGCGTTCTTTAAATATTTTCAGTAAAGTTCCCCGCGATTTTGACGAGGCAAGTGTGCAGACGGCGTGGTTAGAAGTGTCTACACACTTTGCCAGTGGTCTAGTTAAAGTGATTACGCAGGTGGCCAAACACCAAGGAGGACAGAAATCAGTGAAGAGATGTGAAGAATCAATCTGGAACCACAAACAATCGAGAAAAAGCCAAAGGACATTGATGAGTATGGAACAAGTGCTAAAATGAATGAGATTTAATGAGTTCAGTCTCTTAAAAGCTATTTAAATGCCGTTTAAGGCACAGAATAGGAACTGTGAAATGTTTTAACGTTGTGTTGAAACAATGAATAGGAAATAAGTTTTTAAAATGCATAATACTGGAAAGGAAAACACTTTTGATGCCTCTGGCTGCACATAGAATAGGAATATCATAATCTGAACATTCTACAGAGCTTTAAAATGTATAGACAACTTTTAATGCACCTTAAATGCATATGGGGTAACGTCCAGAGGAAGTAAATGTAAATTTAGTGCAAACAAAGTCTTTCTTTTCTGCCCCTCTGCTGTCCAACTCTCCTCCCCCAAAATATATCCGCATCTTCAGCTGTTTCGCCTGGGTTGGTAAATTAATTTTAATTAGGAAATAATAACCCTTTTAGTACCTCATGTCTAACAGTTTAATGACTTGCTTCAGTTCAATCATAACACTACCTTCAAGCTGAGGTATCTTGGAGAAGAAAAAAATGTTCGCAAACCTATGACTTCGGCTCTTGGGAACTAGGGGCGGGAGGCACAGAGGTCCACAGCCAGTGGTAAATACACAGTGACTTTGAGGCCAGCCTGGACTATGCGAAGCCCTGTCTGTAAAAGAAATCACGTTTAGGAGCTGGGGAGCTTCAGCATAGGATGCTGTTCCTTCCCGAGGACCTGATTTCGGTTGTCAGCGCTCACATGGCAGCTCGCAACACTCTGCAGCTTCAGTCTTGGGGAGCTGACACCCTCCGAGTTCCGGCCTACGTGGCCACCAGGTATACAGGTGTTGTATGTACACACATACAGGCAGACGCTAACAGGCGGAAAAAAAATAAGTAAATCTTTAAAAAAATCTCATGTGAAAATAGTTCTACATGTTTTGCATATGTACGTGTATATGTGTGTTCAGGAACCTGTACACGTGGAGGCCACTGAGTATTTTCTTTAGAAATTTTAAATAATTAATTCATCTTATACCCCAATCACAGCTTCCTTCCCTCCTCCCCTCCCAACCCTGGCCCCCCTCCCCCACCTCAATCCATTCCTCCACTGTTTCTGTTCAGAAAGGGCCAGACCTCCCACGCGTATCAACGAAGCATGGCATATCAAGTTAGCTGAGATTATAAGCTCCTCCCCTTGTATTAAGGCTGGGCAAGGCAACCTGGAATGAGGAGCAGGTTCCCAAGAGCCAGCCAAAGGATTAGGGATAGCCCCTGCTCCCACTGCGGTTGTGGTCTAGGGATAGCCCCTGCTCCCACTGCGGTTGTGGTCTAGGGATAGCCCCTGCTCCCACTGCGGTTGTGATCTTTGTACGGACTCTTCTCTTGCCTCTCCCCTTGTTCTCCACGTAAGAGAGCCGGGTGCTCCCCTCATACAGAGATACCTCACCAGCTCTCAGAGGTAACCAGTTCTTACTCATCCCACCGCTGGGTCTGTCTGTCCACCGAGCTTCAGGGCTCCTGGGGTGTCCTTGCCCCCCCATCACTGTGGATCCACACGCCTCTCAAGCTGCACCTTTACACGATGCCCAACCCTTTCCAAGCCCCTATATCCACAGCAGAGCTCCCGAGAAGACTCAGCTTTTTTTTTTTCCAGCCTTTTACGATGCCCTACTCTTTCGGTAATCCCAAATGGGGAGCCATCACTCCTCTCCAGTTGCTCAACTGTTCTGCATCCTTCCCAGCCTGCCAAATTCAACCCCCCCAATACCCACAGTCCACCCAGACACAACACGAAAAATCCCCCCACCCTATATGGGGGCCCTTATCTGACACCCGCCTCCTCTCACCAGCTTCTCTCTGTGTTTCCCACTTGTATTCCTCCTCCTCCTCCTCCTCCTCCTCCTCCTCCTCCTCTTCCTCCTCCATGTTCCTGGGAAGTCTCTCAGTTTCACTCTGGAACCAAAGCATTCATTCCCAGCCCTTTAGTGGTTGCTATTCAGAGGTCATCCCTTGGAATAACAATGGCAATCACAAGACCCGCTGCCCCTGATTAAGTTGAAACTCTCCTCTTGCTACATGGATTCAACCCAGCCTATGCCTCCCCTAGCTCCAGGGGACAGAGCACAGCCCCCACCCCCGTTGTTCCTGTTTGCAGGAAGCAGCCAACGAGAGAACTCACAGGTTTCCTCTTTTTTGTCTGTCTTCAGGGTCATGAATGAATGAAGGGTTAATGACCTACAGGCCTCAGGTGAACTGAGAAGCCAGGACAGGAGATTTGACCTGACTGACACACCCGAGGAAGCTTCCCATACGGAGGTCCACGTGCCAAGCTAGTATCTGCCACGTCAGGACTGCAGTGGAGCTGACCTGCAGATGGACTCTTCCATCCTAAAGTTCCCCTTTCCTGTCCTCTAAGACCCCGAGACCCCGCACGCAAGCACACACTCGCCCTCTCGCTCCACAGAGACTGCGGCTCCTTGGTTGTTCTGATTAAAGAGTAATTCTTCTCCTGCAGATGCCGGTCTGCTCTCCTTTATCTCCACCTCGCCTCAGCCCTGGTCTTACAGGGATCGTCTAAGTGGGCATCACTCTGCAAGCACAAGTTTATTTCTGACGCTTAAAGCAACAGCTGGTTATTCAAAAAGCAAGAGCTTTGTCCAATGGGAAAAACATAAGATGCTAAATTTAATTATAGATTTTTTAATGTCAATTCGGTGAAGTGATGTTAAGAACAATCCAATACTTAAGAAAAAATGGAGTAGAAAATCAGTCATTAGTTTTTCTCTCAGGGTGTTAAATTAACCTTAGAACTTTCTTTATATATATATATATATATATATATATATATATATATATATTATTCAAATTAGAAACAAGCTTGCTTCACATGTCAATCCCAGCTCCCTCTCCCTCCCCTCCTTCTCCTCCACCAACCCCCCTCTCAGTCCCCCATCCAATACCCACTCCCTTTCCCAGGGAGGGTGAGGCCCTCCATGGTGGATCTCCAGAGTCTGTCATTTCATCCACAGCAGGGCCTAGGCCGTCCGGCACGCGTCCAGGCTGAGAGAACCTCTCTCAATGAGGGATGGGAATCCAAAGTCCATCTGTGTGCCAGGGATAAATAGATTGCCTAGGCTTCACTGACACCCACATTCAGAGGGTCTGGATCAGTCCCATGCTGATCGATCTGGGGTCCATGAGCTCCCCCTTGTTCAGGTCAGCTGTCTCTGTGGGCTTCACCAGCTGGGTCTTGACCCATTTGCTCATCACTCCCCCATCTCTGTCACTGGGTTCCAGGGGTTCAGTTCAGTGTTTAGCTGTGGGTGTCTGCCTCTGCTTCTATCAGCCACTGGATGAAGGCTCTAGGATGGCGTATAAGGCAGTCATCAATCTCATCACCACGGAGGGGCTATTAATGTAGTCTCTCCACCATTGCTTAGTTTGACAGTTAGTGAGATCTCTGGAGATCTCACTAGTGTCATCTCTCTCCCCAAACCTATGACAACTCCCTCTATTATGGTATCTCTCATCCTGTTCGCCTCTATTCTTCCCCCAACTCAAACTTCCTGCTCCCCCCATGTCCTCCTCTCCTCTCTTCTTCTCCCCCCTCTCTTTTTCCCAGATCCCTCTCCCCTTTGCTCAGGAGATCCTGCTTCATTCCTCTTCTCTGGGGTACCATGCATATCTCTCTTAGGGTCCTTACTGTTTCTCAGACTTTCTGGCAATGGGATTGTAGGCAGGCACTCCCCTTATCCATGTCTAAAATCCACATATGAGTGAGTACATACCATGTTTGTCTTTTTGTGATTGGGTTACCTCACTCAGGATGGTTTTTTTCTAGTGATGTCCATTTGCCTGCAAATTTCAAGATTCCATTTTGTTTTTTTTCTGCTGAGTAGTACTCCATTGTGTATACCACATTTTCTCTATCCACTCTTCAGTTGAGGGGCATCTAGGTTGCTTCCAGGTTCGGGCTATTACAAATAATGCTGCTATAAACACAGTGGAACATACATCTGATGGGGAAGTCCTGTGTATATGTCAATAAAGCACTGTTGGCCAATAGGAAAGCAAGACTAGGGACTAGGAGTCTAGGAGGATTCTGGGAAATGTACTGAAGAGACTGGATGCTATGTGATCTCCCAGGAGGAACGGACATGGCAGGAGTGCATCCTTGTAAAGATAAGTCCTTATAAAATTTGTATTAGTAATTATACATTAATAATCAAGTCAGAGCTAGCCGATATGAAACCGAGCAAATGGCCAACAGCTTCATAATTAATATAGTGTCTTGTGTGTTATTTGGGGGCTGAAAGTGACAACAGGGCCTAGGTGGAGGGCAGGAAGACTAAATGTTACAGACATCCTTGTTGTATGACTGTGCATCTTTTGGATATATGCCTAAGAGTGGAGTTGCTGGATCTTGTGGTAGAGTGATGCCCATTTTCCTGAGGAATCTCCATACTGATTTCCATAGTGGCTGTACGAGCCAGCACTCCCACCAGCAGTGGAGGAGCACACCCCTCTCTCCACATCCTCTCCAGCATAAATTGTCACTGGTGTTTTTGATTTTAGCCATTCTGACAGAGGTAAGATGGTATCTCAGAGTTGTTGTGGTTTGCATTTCCCGGATGGCTAAGGATGTTGAGCCATTTTTAAAAGTGTCCATCAGCCATTTTAGACTCCTCTATTGAGAATTTTCTATTTAGTTCTGTACCTCACTTTTTAATTGGATCCTTTGGATCCAGCAATTCCACTCTGAGGCATAGACCCAAAAAATGTACACTCAGACAATAAGGACATCTGTTCAACTATGTTCATAGCAGCATTATTTGTGATAGCCAGAACCTAGAAGTAACCTAGATGCCCCTCAATTGAAGAGTGGATAGAAAAAATGTGGTACATTTACACAATGGAGTACTACTCAATAGAAAAAAATGGAATCTTGAAATTTGCAGGCAAATGGATGTCACTAGAAGAAACCATCCTGAGTGAGGTAACCCAGTCACAAAAAGACAAACATGGTATATACTCACTCATATATGGATTTTAGACATGGATCAGTGGAGTGCCTGCCTACAAATCCCACTGCCAGAGAGGCCTGGAAACAGGAAGGACTCTAGGAGAGATATGCATGGTACCCCAGAGAAAGGGACTGGAACAGGATCTCCTGAGCAGATTGGGAGCATGGTGTGAGGGGAGAGGGAGCTGGGATAAAGAGAGGGAGAAAAGAGGAGGGGAGAGGAGAACATGGGGGAGCATGAAGGTTGAGTCAGTGGAAGAATAGAGGAGAGCAAGATGAGAGATACCATAATAGAGGGAGTCATTATAGGTTTTGAGGAGAGATCTGGCACTAGGGAGATTTCCAGAGATCTACAAGGATGACACCAACTGGCAATCTATGCAATAGTGGAGAGGCTACCTTAAATGCCCTCCCCCAATAATGAGGGGAGGACATTTAAGGCTACCTTATATGCCATCCTAGAGGCTTCATCCAGTGGCTGATGGAAGCAGAGGCAGACACCCACAGCTAAATTCTGAACTGAACCCCATGAACCCATGTGCAGAAAGGGAGGAGTGATGAGTAAAGGGGTCAAGATCGGACTGGAGAAACCCACAGAGACAGCTAACCTGAACAAGTGGGAGCTCTTGGACCCCAGACTGATGGCTGGGAATCCAGCCTGGGACTGATCCAGACCCCCTAAATTTGGGTGTCAGTGAGGAGGCCTAGGCAATCTGTGGGACCTTGGGTAGTAGATCAGTATTTATCCCTGGCATACAAATGGACTTTGGGTGCCCATCCCACATCGAGGGATGCTCTCTCAGCCTGGACTCTTGGGGCAGGGCCTAGATCCTGCCCTGGATGACATGACTCTGGAGATGCCCCATGGAGGGCCTCATCCTCTATGAGGGGAGGAGTGGGAATTGGGTGGGGGGTTAGGGAGGTTGGTGGGGAGCTGGGTAGGAGAGAGGGAGAAGGAGCTGGGATTGACATGTGAAGCAAGCTTGTTTATAATTTAAATAAAAAGATAAATAAAAAAGAAAATGCTTTATCACTCAAAAAAAAAAAAGAAAGAGAAAGGGCCTTCTGAAGATGATGAAGATGTGGACCCCGAAATCCAACAAGGCCAAAAAAAGAGGAGTCACATCAGGATGGCACACTGCTTCTAAAAGCAGCACTCCCAAGAAGAAAGAGGAGCCCCCTAAAAAAAAGAGTGGTCTCTGTTAAAATCAAAGAAATACAGACTGAGGAGCCTTCTGAAGACAACAGGGTGTTCTGAAGCCCGAGAAGAAGAAAGGGGAGAAGGGAACAGAGAAATTGGAGAGAAAAGCCCAAAGCCCATTTTTTTTTTTTTGGATTTTCGAGACAGGGTTTCTCTGTATTGTTTTGGAGGCTGTCCTGGAACTCCCTCGGTAGTCCAGCCTGGCCTCAAACTCACAGAGATCCGCCTGCCTCTGCCTCCCAACTGCTGGGATTAAAGGCCACCAATGCCCGGCCCTAAAGCCCAATCTTAATCAGATCTAAACTGCGTGTGGAAAAAGCATCAGTGACACAGAGTATGACACCTAGGGGACAAAAAGAAGGGGCTTTGTCTAATTACCCTACATCTGAGGAGACTCAAGCTTTTCAGAGATCCCTGGTAAACTTCTGTTTCCTATGCACGCAAGGCACCCCACTACGTATCAAGAGGGAATGACTTAATTACCAGGCCTGGACAGGAAAGGGGGAGACATTCCTCTTTCCCATCCTTTGGACTGGGAAACTTCAGGACAGGCTAGAAGACGGGAAGAGAGAGAATCCACAAATCAGGTAAGCAGACGTCACAGAACCCGCTACCAGTGGCTTGTTTTAATGGTGCCACTGCTTAAATGGCAGTCAAATGAAATGAATGCACAATGGGAATGTCCACGATTGGGGCCCCAGGATGGATTAGGGATTTTGGCCCTTGCAGAGCGGTAAGTTAGACCTCACCAAACTTAGACACGCCCTGGATGAAGTGGGCCAGATGTTTGCTGGTCAAATGAAAGAAATTTGACGTGTGGCATTCAAGGAAGACTCTCAAGACAAGACCCAAACATTGCTTTGCTCAGCAACGTGCTCCCATCGAGTGTCCGTCTTAGGGTTTGTATCGCTGCGAAGAGACACCATGACCATGGCAACTCTCACAAAGGAAAACATTTAATTGGGGGTGCTTACAGTTTCAGAGGTCTCGTCCATTGTCGTCCTGACAGGAGCGGCGTGCGGGCAGACACGGTGCCGGAGAAGGAGTTGAGACTTCTACGTCTTGATCCGCAGGCCACAGGAAGTGAATACAGTGCACACTTTGTGTAGTCTGAAGCATGAGAGACGATAAAATCAGCCTCCGCTGATAGCTGGGAAACTGGCACCCCTGAACGTGGTGGCAGTTAGGTTGCCTGGGCGATCTATGGGGCCTCTGGTAGTGGATCAGTATTTATCCCTAGTACACAAATGGACTTTGGGAGCCCATTCCACACAGAGGAATGCTCTTTCA